CTTCTTCCGTGTCTTCCCAGGATCCTTCAGCCGTGTCTTCCCAATTCCCAGGATCCTTAGCCGTGTCTTCCCCAGGATCCTTCATCGTGTCTTCAGGATCCTTCTTCCGTATCTTCAGGATCCGTCAGCCGTGTCTTCCCAGGATCCTCTATTGTCTTTCCCAAGGATCCTTCTTCCGTTTCTTCCCAGGATCCTTCTTCTGTGTCTTCCCAGGATCCTTCTTCTATGTCTTCCCCAGGATCCTTCAGCGTGTCTTCCCCAGGATCCTTCTTCCGTGTCTTCCCAGGATCCTTCTTCCGTGTCTTCCCAGGATCCGTCAGCCGTGTCTTCCCAGGATCCTTCATCCGTGTCTTCCCAGGATCCTTCTTCCTTGTCTTCCCAGGATCCTTCAGCCGTGATCTTCCGGATCCTTCAGCCGTGTCTTCCCAGGATTCTTCTTCCGTGTCTTCCCCAGATCCTTCAGCCGTGTCTTCCCCAGGATCCTTCAGCCGTATCTTCCCAGGATCCTTCAGCCGTGTCTTCCCAGGATCCTTCTTCCGTGTCTTCTCAGGATCCTTCAGCCGTGTCTTCCCCAGGATCCTTCTTCGTCTTCCCCAGGATCCTTCTTTGTGTCTTCTCGGATCCTTAATCTTCCCAGGATCCTTCAGCCGAGTCTTCCCAGGATCCTTCTTCCGTGTCTTCCCAGGATCCTTCTTCCGTGTCTTCTCCAGGATCCTTCAACTGACCTTCCCAAGGTCTTCTTCTGTGTCTTCCCCAGGATCCTTAGCCGTGTGTTCCCAGGATCCTTCTTCCGTGTCTTCCCAGGATCCTTCATGTGTATTCCCCGGATCCTTCTTCCATGTCTTCCCCAGGATCCTTCAGCAAATGTCTTCACAGGATCCTTCTTCCGTGTCTTGGAACCTTCGCCGTGTCTTCCCAGGATCCTTCAGCGTGTCTTTCCCAGGATCCTTCTTCGTATCTTCCCAGATCCTTCTTCAGTGTCTTCCCAAGATCCTTCAGCCGTGTCTTCCCAGGATCCTTCAGCGTGTCTTCCCTGGAACCTTCTTCCGTGTCTTCCCAGGATCCTTCAGCGTGTCTTCCACAGGATCCTTCTTCCGTCAATCTTCCCAGGATCCTTCTTTCGTCTTCCCAGGATCCTTCGTCCGTGTCTTCCCAAGGATCCTTGTTCCGTATCTTCCCCAGGATCCTTCTTCCGTCTTCCCAGGATCCTTCAGCCGTGTCTTCCCCGGATCCTTCATCGTGTCGATCATTCTTCCGTGTCTTCTTCCCCAGGATCCTTCTCAGCCGTGTCTTCCCAGGATCATTCTTCCGTGCTCCCAGGATCCTCAGTTGCCTTTCCAGGATCCTTCTTCCGTGGCCTTCCCCAGGATCCTTCAGCTGTGTCGTCACTCAGATCCTCCCAGCTCTGTCTCCCCAGGATCCTCAGCCGTGTCTCCTCCAGATCCCTTCCTTCCAGTCTCTCCAGGATCCCAGTCAGGTCTCCCCAGGATCCTTCCCGTGTCTCCAGGATCCCAGCCGTGCTGCCCTCCCATGATCCTTCTTCCGCGGTCTCCCCAGTGTGATCCTTCCCAGCCGTGTCTCTCCAGATCCTTCTTCCGTGGTTCTCTCCAGGATCCTTCCGTGTCTCCCAGATCCTCCCAGCCAGCCTCCCCAGGATCCTTCAGCCGTGTCTCCAGGATCCTTTTCCGTGTCTTCCCTCCAGGATCCTTCAGCTGTCTTCCCCAGGATCCTGGCTGCTCCCCCTGCAGGATCCTTCTTCCCGTGTCTTCCCCATGATCCTTCTTCCAGGTTCCTCTCCAGGATCCTTCCAGCCAGTCTCACCCATGATCCCTTCTTCCGTGTCTCCCCATGATCCTTCTGCAACTGTTGACACATACTCAGCTTCTGGTACAACTGTTGACACATACTCAGCTTCTGGTACAACTGTTGACACATACTCAGCTTCTGGTACAACTGTTGACAACTGTCTTCCCCTGAATCCTTCAGCCGTGTCTTCCCCAGGATCCTTCAGCCGTGTCTTATCCAGGATCCTTCTTCCATGTCTTCCCCAGGATCCTTCAGCCGTGTCTTCCCCAGGATCCTTCTTCCGTGTCTTCTCCAGGCTCCTTCAGCCGTGTCTTCCCCAGGATCCTTCTTCCGTTAATATTTCCCCAGGATCCTTCAACTAAATCATCTTCCCCAGGATTCTTCTTCCGTGTCTTCCCAGGATCCTTCAGCCGTCTTCCCCCAGGATCCTTCTTCGTGTCTTCCCCAGGATCCTTCAGCCGTGTCTTCCCAGGATCCTTCTTCGTGTGTTCCCCAGGATCCTTCAGCCGTGTCTTCCACAGGATCCTTCTACCGTGTCGTCCCCAGGATCCTTCAGCCGTGTCTTCCCCAGGATCCTTCTTCCGTGTCTTCCCCAGGATCCTTCTTCCGTGTCTTCTCCAGGATACTTCAGCCGTGTCTTCCCCAGGATCCTTCTTCCGTGTCTTCCCTAGGATCCTTCAGCCGTGTCTTCCCCAGGATCCTTCTTCCGTATCTTCTCCAGGATCCTTCAGCAGTGTCTTCCCCAGGATCCTTCTTCCGTATCTTCTCCAGGATCCTTCAGCAGTGTCTTCCCCAGGATCCTTCTTCCGTGTCTTCCCCAGGATCCTTCAGCCGTGTCTTCCCCAGGATCTTTCAGCCGTGTCTTTTCCAGGATCCTTCTTCCGTGTCTTCTCCAGGATACTTCAGCCGTGTCTTCCCTAGGATCCTTCTTCCGTGTCATCCCTAGGATCCTTCAGCCGTGTCTTCCCCAGGATCCTTCTTCCGTATCTTCTCTAGGATCCTTCAGCAGTGTCTTCCCCAGGATCCTTCTTCCGTGTCTTCCCCAGGATCCTTCAGCCGTGACTTCCCCAGGATCCTTCAGTTGCCCTTTCTCCCACAGGATCCTTCTTCCGTTTCGCCCCAGGATCCTTCTTCCCGTGTCTTCCCCAGGATCCCAGCCAGTTCCCCCAGGATCCTTCTTCCGTGTCTCTCCCAGGATCCTTCATCCGTGTCTTCCCCAGGACTCTTCAGCTGTATGCCCTTTCCCAGGATCCTTCTTCCAGCTGTCTTCCCCAGGATCCTCTTCCAGTGTCTTCCCAGGATCCTTCTTCAGGTCTTTCCCCAGGATCCTTCTCAGCCGTGTCTTCCCCAGGATCCTTTTCTCGTGTCTTCCCCAGCCTCACCTCCCAAGATCCTTCTCCCAGCCGCAATCCTTCCAGGATCCTTTCTTCCATCCCAGATCCTTCCATCCCAGGACTTTCCAGACTCTCCCAGATCCTTTCGTTCTTCCCAGGATCCTTCACGGCCTTCCCAGGATCCTTCTTCAGTCTTCCCCCAGGATCCTTCAGCCGTGTCTCCCCAGGATCCTTCTTCCAGGCGTCTCTCCCCAGGATCCTTCAGCCGTGTCTTCCCCAGGATCCTCTTCCAGGCTCTTCCCCAAGATCCTAGCTGTGTCCTTTCCCAGGATCCTTCAGCCAGGCTCCTTCCCAGGATCCTTCTTCCGTGTCTTCCCCAGGATCCTTCTTCCAGGTCTTCCCAGGATCCTTCCTGCCGTGTTCCTCCCCCAGGATCCCTCCATCCAGTCTCCCCAGGATCCTTCTTCCGTGTCTCCCAGGATCCTTCAGCCGTGTCTCTTCCCCAGGATCCTTCAGCCTGCCTCTCCCCAGGATCCTTCTTCCGTGTCTCTCCAGGATCCTTCAGCCGTGTCTTCCAGGATCCTTCTCAGCCTGTCTTCCCCAGATCTTCTTCCGTGTCTCTTCCCAGGATCCTTCAGCCGTGTCTTCCCAGGATCCTTCTTCCGTGTCTTCCCCAGGATCCTTCAGCCGTGTCTTCTCCCAGGATCCTTCCAGCTTCCCAGGATCCTTCAGTTGTGTCTTCCCAGGATCCTTCTTCCGTGTCTTCCCCAGGATCCTTCAGGCTGTCCTCTCCCCAGGATCCTTCTCAGCTGTGTTCCAGGATCCTTCCTTCCTGCCTCTCCCAGGATCCTTCAGGCTCCTTCCAGGATCCCAGCCGTGGCCTTCCCTAGGATCCTTCTCCCAGCCTCTCCCCAGGATCTCTTCTTCCAGGTTCCTCTCCCAGGATCCTTCTCAGCCGTGTCTCTCCAGGATCCTTCCAGCCGTGTCTTCCCCAGGATCCCTTCCCGTGTCTTCCCCAGGATCCTTCCTCAGCCTTCTCCAGGATCCTTCTTCCGTCTTCCCCAGGATCCTTCAGCCGTGTTCCTTCCCAGGATCCTTCTTCCGTGTCTCTCCCCAGGATCCTTTCAGGGTGTCTTGTGATCCTTCTTCCGTGTTCCTCCAGGATCCTTCAGCCGTGTCTTCCCCAGGATCTTTCTTCCAGGGTTCTTCCCAGGATCCTTCTTCGTGTCTTCCCAGGATCCTTTCTTCCGTGGTTCCTGGTGATCCCTTCCTGTGTCTTCCCAGGATCCTTCAGCTGTGTCTTCCCCAGATCCTTCTTCCAGGTCTCTCCCAGGATCCTTCTTCCAGGTCTTCCCAGGATCCTTCCATCCCCAGGATCCTTCAGCCAGGTTCCTCCCCAGGATCCTTCCCTTCTCCGTCTCTCCCAGGACCCCCAGCCCTCCAGGATCCTTCCGTGCTTCCCCAGGATCCTTCTTCCAGGCCTTCTTCCACATGATCCCCTTCCAGGCGTCTTCCCAGGATCCTTCCCAGCCGTGTCTCTCCCCAGGATCCTTCCAGCCGCACCTTCCCCAGGATCCCTTCCGAGTCTTCCCCAGGATCCCTTCCAGGTTCCCAGGATCCTTCAGCCGTGTCTTTCCCAGGATCCCTTCCATGGTTCTTCCCAGGATCCTTCAGCCGTCTTCCCCAGATCCTTCTTCCTGTGTCTTCCCAGGATCCTTCAGCTTGCCTTTCCCCAGGATCCTTCGCCAGGATCCCCATCCCAGTCTCCCAGGATCCTTCCAGCTCCCAGGATCCTTCCCAGTCCTCCCAGATCCTTCCTCCAGGATCCTTCCCAGCCTTCCCAGGATCCTTCCCAGCCGTGTCTCCCAGGATCCTTCTTCCCCAGGATCCCCCAGCCGTCTTCCCCAGGATCCTTCCAGGTCTTCTCCAGGATCCTCAGCCAGGTCTCTCCCAGGATCCTCAGCTCCCTCCCCAGGATCCTTCTGTCTCCCCAGGATCCTTCCCAGTCGTCTTCCCCAGGATCAGTCTCCCCAGGATCCTTCCAGCCAGGTCTTCCCCAGGATCCTTCCAGGATCCTTCCCAGGTCCCTCCAGGATCCTTCAGCTGCCCTTCCCAGGATCCTTCCAGGCCTCCCAGGATCCTTCCCCCAGCCTGTCTCCCCAGGATCCCCAGCCGTGTCTTCCCCAGGATCCTTCTTCCAGGCCTCTCCAGGATCCTTCAGCTCAGGTTCCTCCCAGGATCCCAGCCTGTCTCTTCCCCGGGATCCTTCCAGGCGTTCCCCCAGGATCCCAGCCGTTCTCCCAGGATCCTCTCAGCCAGCCTTCCTCCAGGATCCTTCAGCCGTGTCTTCCCCAGGATCCTTCCCGTGTCTTCCCCAGGATCCTCAGCCGTGTCTTCCCAGGATCCTCAGTGCCCTTTCCCCCAGGTCCCCTTCCAGAGATCCTTCCCCAGGATCCTTCAGCTCCTGCAGGATCCTTCAGCCTCTCCCAGGATCCCAGTTCCTCCCCAGGATCCTCCCAGGATCCCCAGCCGTCTTCCCCAGGATCCTTCTCCCAGGATCCTTCACCGGTTCCTCCCCCAGATCCTTCAGCCGTCTCCCCAGGATCCCTGCCAGGCTCCTTCCCCAGGATCCCTCCCAGGATCCTCCCGTCTTCCCCAGGATCCTTCAGCCGTGCCTCCTGTGATCCTTCTTCCGTCTTCCCCAGGATCCTTCTTCCGTGCCTTCCCCAGGATCCTTCTGTCTTCCCAGGATCCTTCTTCCAGGTTCCCCAGGATCCTGTCCCCTCTCCAGATCCTTCCTCCCAGATCCAGCCCTTCCCCAGGATCCTTCCCAACCTCCCTTCCCAGGATCCTTCTTCCCCAGGATCCTTCAGCCGTGTCTTCTCCCCAGGATCCTTCTTCAGGTCTTCTCCCCAGGATCCTTCAGCCAGGTTCTCCCAGGATCCTCAGCCGTGTCTCTTCCCAGGATCCTTGTTCCAGCCTTCCAGGATCCTTCAGCTGTGTTCCTCTCCCAGGATCCTTCCTGTGTCTTCCCCAGATCCTTCCTGTCTCCCCAGGATCCCTGCCTTCTCCAGGATCTCAGCTGTCTTCCCCAGATCCCCCAGGATCCTTCCCAGCCCTCCTCCCAGGATCCTTCCCTCCCAGATCCCCAGTCGCCCTCCCAGGATCCTTCCTTCCCGTGTCTCCCCAGGATCCTTCCTGCTCTCCCAGGATCCCTTCCCAGGTGCCTTCCCAGGATCCTTCTTCCCAGGCCCTCCAGGATCCCCAGCCGTCTCCCCCAGATCCTTCCAGCCTGCCCTCCCAGGATCCTTCCCAGCTTCCTCCCCAGGATCCTTCTTCCTGTCTTCTCCAGGATCCTTCACCGTGTCTTCCCCAGATCCTGCTGTCTTCCCCAGGATCCTTCTTCCTGTCTTCTCCCCAGGATCCTTCTTCCAGGTCTTCCCCAGATCCCCAGCTGGCCTTCCCCAGGATCCTTCTTCCATCCTCAGCCTGTCTTCCAGGATTTTTTCAGCCTGTCTTCCCAGATCCTTCTTCCGTCCCTCCCAGGATCCCTTCCAGCCGTCTCTCCCCAGGATCCTTCCCAGCCGTGTCTTCCCCAGGATCCCTGCCGTGTCTCTCCAGGATCCTTCTTCCAGGTCTTCTTCTCCCAGATCCTTCCAGCCGTGTCTCTCCCCAGGATCCCAATCCTGCCCTTCCCAGGATCCTTCTCAGCCGTGTCTTCTCCAGGATCCTTTCAGCCGTGTCTTCCCCAGGATCCTTCTTCCGTGTTCTCCCCCAGATCCTTCTTCCGTCTTCCCCAGATCCTTCAGGTCTTCCCCAGGATCCTTCTTCCAGGTCTTCCCCAGGATCCCCAGCTGCCCCCCCGGATCCTTCCCGTGCCCTTCCCCAGGATCCTTCTTCCCGTGTCTCTCCCAGGATCCTTCCAGGTCTTCCCCATCCTCCTGTCTTGGCTCCCAGGATCCCTTCCCCAGCCTGTCTTCCCAGGATCCCAGCCGTGCCTTCCCAGGATCCCTTCCCAGCCTTCTTCATCGTGTCTTCCCTAGGATCTCAGCCTTCCCCAGAGATCCTTCATGCCTTCCCAGGATCCCCTCTGATCCTTCAGCTGTGCCTTCCCCTCAGGATCCTGTGTCTTCCCAGGATCCTTCTTCCGTGCTCCCCAGGATTCCAGCTTCCTCTCCCAAGATCCTGGATCTGCTCCCAGGATCCTTCAGTGTCTTCCCCAGGATCCAGCCGTGCTCCCTCAGGATCCTCATCCGTCCTCCGGATCCTCAGCCGTGGATCCTCTTTCAGCGCCTTCCTCCTTGTCTTCCCAGCCGTGTCTTCCCAGGATCCCAGCCGTGCTCCCAGGATCTCTAGATCCTTCAGCCGTGCCTCCCCAGGATCCTGTCTTCCCGGATCCCAGCTGCTCCTTCCCAGGATCCTTCCAGCCGTCTTCCAGGATCCTTCTTCCTATGATCCCAGGATCCTTCAGCCGCCTCAGATCCTTTCCAGGCCTCCGGATCTCAGCCGTGTCTTCCCCTAGGATCTGTGTCTTCCCCAGGATCCTTCGGTCGTTCTCCAGGATCTCAACTGTGTTTTCCTTGCGATCTTGTGCTCTTCCCAGGATCCTTCCCGTGGTTCCTCCAGGATCCTTCCGTGTTTCCCCAGGATCCTTCAGCTGCCTCAGGATCCTCCCTTCCCGATCCCAGCTGTCTTCCCCAGGATCCTCCCAGGACTTCCGTGTTCTTCCTGATCCCAGCCGTGTCTTCCTGCGGATCCTCCCCTCTTCCGTGTCTCCCCAGGATCCCGGATCCCAGCTCTAAACCTTCCAGGTTTCCCAGGATCCTTCAGCTGCTCTTCCAGGATCCTTCTTCCCATAGCCTTCCCAGATCCTGTCCGTGTCTTCCCAGGATCCTAGTTCCTGTCCCTAGGATCCTTTCCCCAGACTTCTGTCTTCCTGATCTCTCTTAGCTGTGATCTCCGTGTTCCCAGGATCCCTTCAGCCGCGTCTTCCCCCAGGATCTCCTTGTTCCGTGTCTTCCCAGGCCTCTTGATCCCAGCCCGTCTCTTCCCCAGGACCAGCTGTGCCTTCCTCCCAGGATCCCAGCCGTGTTCTTCCCAGGATCCTTCTTCCGTGTCTTCCCAGGATCCACTTCCAGTCGATCCCCAGGATCCTTCAGTCTCCTCCAGGATCCCTAGCCGTTCTTCCCGGATCTTCAGCGTGTCTTCCTGCTGATCCTCTGCTCCAGGATCCCAGCAGCCTTCCCCAGGATCCCTGTGTCTTCCTTTCCGCCCGCTCCCAGGATCCTGCAGTGTCTCTCCCAGGATCCTTCTTCCCCGTGATCCCAGACCTTTCCGTGCCTCAGGATCCTTCAGCCGCGTCTTCCCAGGATCCTCTTCAGTGTCTTCCCCAGGATCCTACTTCAGCCTTCCCAGGATCCAGCCGTCCCCTCAGGATCCTTCCGCTTCAGCCGTTCTTCTCCAGGATCCTCTTCAGCCGCCTCCCCAGGATCCTGCTTCCCAAGGATCCTCAGCGTCTTCCCGTGATCTTCCCAGGATCCCAGCTGCCTCCCCATGATCCTCAGTGTCTTCCTGCAGGATCTTGCCGTGTCTTCCCCAGGATCTTCCGTGTCTTCCCAGTGATCCTCAGCTGCCTTCCTCCAGATCTTCCGTGTCTTCCCAGGATCTTCCTGCGGTCTTCCAGGATCCTTCCTCCAGGACTTTTCCTTGTCTCC